AGTAAATCCGATTTTCTTCAAAAGATGAATTGCTTCGTCCATCCGAATGAATTGTTCCTTTTGAACGTAAGCTTGATCTCTTAAAGTCACCGAAAATTGACTTGAAACGTGTGTCTAAATTGCAAACAAGTTATATTTGTATATTTAACAATATTTGAAATGAAAAAATGTTGAATAAAATATTGGAATTAAGAAACTTTATAAGTTTTATTAATTTTCATCAACATTTTTTATGAAATCTACTCTCAAATGTACTCAAAATTATCGTTTCTTTGCATATTTAATAAAATTAAGAAAGTTTTTCAAACTCTCAGGGCCAAAGCCAAACACACTTTTCCGATTTTAATTTTATTAAATATGCAAAAAAAGAAACGATAAGTTTGAGTATACTTGAGAGTAGATTTCATAAAAAATGTTGATGAAAATTAATAAAAATTATAAAGTTTCTTAATTCCAATATTTTATTCAATATTTTTTCATTTCAAATATTGTTAAATATAACATGTTTAATTATTACATTATTAATTATATAATAATAATGTTCAGTTCACAATTCAAATTATCAATTCCTATCATAACAGATAATCTTGTAATAAATCTCAAATTTAATCGAATGAAAATAGTTCTTGTATGTAATGGAAATTTGATAACACTTTACGTATATCATAAATAATCCATGAATGAAACTGTTTCAATAACACGTGTCGAGTGAACCGCATGTTGCACACACACACCTTCATTCATTTACTTCTTATTTTCTAATATTGCCCAGATGGTGATTGATTACTTTCCATCCAAGTGCGCAACGTAAAATTGAAAAGCGAAATACGCTTCGAACTTTCATAACTTACCGGAAATTCAATAAAAACCATAAAATATACGTCTTGCGTGCAGGATACTAACCTTTTCCTTCCACTACGATCCATCTATATTACAAAAATATAATAAATTATCAATATTAACCTCATATTAATATAATAATAATATAGATGAAATTTTGATTATTATAAGTTCTTCTGTAAGAAACATAAATTGAAATATTTTTAATTAGATTTCATTAGTTAATTCAATTAAATTTAATGTATTTCTCTGAATTCGAAAAAATATCTTCATTAGAACATAAAATTGTTATATATATATAAGTATTCTAATCACTTTGGGTAATGCTGTTAGGAACGCAATTATCCTGGATAAGGATTAAAGTGGAAGTTACGTTCGGCAATAAATTGCGGTTCGAAGACTCGGATGGAAGAATTAGTAGCTTTCGAAAATTAATCTTATTAGAGCTTTTTGTAATGTACGTTTTCAATCACATCCTTCCATTCTCTAAATAAATCCCAATCCTTTCAAATTCCTTCGAGAGAACTACAAAAGTTCGTTGTACATCCTCTCAAAGCTCTCTTATATTTCGAGAGAAGAAATTCGTTTGAAACATTGTACATTTTCGTTCGGCCACTTATACTGATAACGTCCGTCGCGCTTTGTAAATTATGTAGAAAAGCTCGTAGATGAAAAATGCATCATAAATTATATTTTATTGTGATAAATTGCTTCTGTTTAGTTTTAAAAACGATAAATTCTAATTTTATATTCTAAATTCAACGAAATGATTTATTCAAAATATTCTTAAAGTATAGAAATAATTCATAGATAAACTATTACAAAAGTATAACAAAAATTCAGAAACATCTCAATTCATTCTTAATTTATGAATTTCTAAGTTAAAAACTAACTCAAAACTGAAAATTGCAAGTTTTTTTTATTTTGCATTCAATTTATATGATGTAAATATTTTTTTTTGTTTTCAGTGAATTCTGATAATTTAAATGTAATTCAGCATAAATTATTTGTACATCAATGCATAATTCCAGATTAATTCATTAAATTTGTTAAAAACTAAAAGTAAACATTAAATTTATCCAAATATTATAAATGCAATTTTACACTCTGAAAACCGCACGTTTTGTTTTCAACGTCAACGAACGTCCGTTGCATATAATTCCGAAAATTAAATTTTTCACATGGATAACACTTTTGTACATTTCTTTTGGATACACACATTTGCATACGGTGTTATGCGTCACGCCATTAGAGTCGTACGGAATAACGTATTCAACAGTAGAAAAAAAAAACGTATGTGTTATATAAAAAAAAAACGTATCAAAGCGAATTTGAATGTATTTCAGATGAGATGAAACTCGACGGGGAGGAAATGAACTATTTTTTTTATTTGCATTCCGCGTTTCATTTTTTTTATATTTTTTGGCTTCCAACCCTTTTGCGGTTGCAAATTTTTTCTGTGTTTCACCACAATGAATGTTTTAAACAGGCATCGATTCCTCTTTGCCGCGCTTGCAGATAAACACAATACATCACAGCTATGATGAATCGATACAGCTTCTGCAGTTGTTGTAGCAGTCAGGAGAGGATGGAAGTTACACTAATTACGTAACAGTGCGGCTTGTGATTTAATGGGCTCCGGTCGCTGTAGCAATGTGATCATAAATCAAATCGCATCCGAATAAATCAAATGTTTACCAAAAATTGAATGATTTATTATAACTTTGTTTATTTATTTAATTTTTTTTTCCTTCTAATTTTAGGTCGCTGCGATGCGCAAGGATCACGATCCACATGAACCTGTTCGGATCGTTCACGATCAACAACTTCCTTTGGATCCTGTGGTACAATCTGGTGGTGAAGCACATAGATGTCATCAAAAATAATGAGGTAAATAGAATTGGTCTAAGGACGAAATTGAAGGAGAAGGACGTATCGTTTTTCGTAGCGAAGAATTTTCCAATAAGTGCTCCGCAAATAATAAATTTCCTCGGCGACTTTCCAATCCGGTCAAATATTAAATTACATGACGCAACACGAAATTCACCTTCAGATTCATTTTCTTAAGGTTTTCGTAGCGATTTAATTAAATCAAATAGCTTCTCTTGCACTTTAGGAAAATCTAAAAAAACAGGACAATTGAAACAACCATTGATTTAACTCGAGAGAAAGAAAGAAACGCATTTTATTGCTGCTGGAATCCTCCCTTTCGCAGACGGAGAAATTCCAACGAATTAACTGGATTAGGCGCTCCCCTTCACACGCTCAACATCCATTACTTAATCATCATGGTTCGAGCTGCGTCTGGCGTTGATATCCACTTGTACTTCTCGATCTAGTAAAGCCCATTTTTTTTATTTAAATGAAATTTACCGATAAAATATGGATTTTGAATTAAAGCGCTTTCGGTTTATAAATCCTGTACGGGTTGGATTTTATGGGTCTTTGTGTTGAGGTCTCTTTTTGTTACGTATATTGGAATCTCCTGTCTGGAACGAATCCCCTGGTCTGGGGTAATTGTTTTCGCGGATTGAAAAGTCTGTCTTTTCATTGCTTCGCTGCTTCTTTCCTTTCTTCCTACGATTCGATTTCATCCTGAATCGAAATACTATTTATTTTACAACAAAAGCGATACATGGATAGTTTTAGTTTTATTTTATCTTTATATTCCACTACATTTCTATAAAATATTACAACTAAATCAGCAAATTTTCTAAATAAATATCAAATATTTAATGCAACAATAAATACAAATTACATAAACATTTTTTGATTCATGAATGTTTAAATTCTATCAAATATAGACCTTTGTCTTCTATACATTTTTACGACTTTTTTACATAAGATGAACGGTTTGCACGTGGAATTTTAAATTTTATAAAAAAGAGAAAAGTTTCAGTTCATATTACATAGAAATATACTACCTCCAGTTTATGTAAATTTTGTATTACAAAATTAATATTAACAATTTAAATTACTATTTTATTATTCAATTACTACTAAAATCATAACAATCTATTCACTAGTTATATAATAAAATCTCTATTAATAACGTACCATAAAATATAAATCATTAATTTTCTCCAAACTACATTACAATCCACATATTGCGCTTAGCAGTCACGTAATAATACATTTATTATGTATAACTCGATGCGATTATAATGAACGTGTAGCTAATGAATATTCATATTGACATCTTAATCAGTATCTTCATATTAAGTCCAATAAGCGTGATGGGATTAGCAATTCCCATTTCCGGTTCGTTCGTTATTACTACATGGTTATGTAGGTGATAATTTCTATGATTACAGGTAAACAAACCGACGCTCCGGGTTACGTGTCGCGTCTGTCTGCGTATTCAGCTACAATAACAATCGATAATGCATTAATTTCCTTAATAGAACTCGTATTATTTGCGTTGGCTACGCCCTTCCGTCCATCAACCATTCAAAAACACCATCAACTTCGCAAAAAATTGCAATTACGCAACAGTTTTTCTATATAGCGAACCTGCTAGCAGACTTGCTTGAAAGGGGTGACTTTTGTCTTTAATTTGCATATTTTATGGTTTAATTAACTTATATAGTTGCTGAGTAATTCAAGTTTATGTGAAAACAGCAAAATTCCGAATTTATCAGTTACGTAACTTGTTTATACTAAAAATCAATGCGTTTGTTAATAAAAAGAAACATGTTGATGAAATTTCACTTTGTTTCTTATGTAATCAAGCAAAACTTTTCGAATCGGGAAAAGTATCGGGATTTTCATTTATTTCCCACGTAAATATAATATTAAATGCGCCTCGGAAACCACCTGTAACGAATGGAAATGGGTAAAAACGTTATTGGAAATTCGATTCGATTGGTTTTCCGCAAGTTTTAAAGTTGTGGCGTTCGCATAAACTAATTATAACTTTAACTTTATCGTTTTCTATACAATACGTATCAATTTATTATATATAAATTAACGTCGAACAATTATATATATTATATATATATTATAAGGGTTCGCGTTTGGTGCCTTGTGGAATTTATAGGAAGTCGAACGAGGATAAATATTTACTGGATTCGGCACCGCAACCAATAAATATCACCACTTTATTTTCCCCTATTTCCTATTTTCCTACCCTCCGGTCGGAATGCGCGCGTGTGTTGGTTTTTGTTCTTTCCATCCGTATTTGTCTGTTTTTCCGGTCCTGTTTTCCTTGCCACACCAATCAATAAATAAATAAATAATGAAACGGATTCTTGTTTGGACACGGAAATGAAATAGATACTTTTACTCAATTCCGCTATTAATTAAATATTTTAGATTGGATCTGTCATTTTCGTGATTGTTGCATGAATTATAGATGATTACAACTAGTTATGTAACTAAGTTAAACTAGTGTCTGTAACTTTTTATAAATTTGTATCGATTTGAATCGTTGCAATTGTTGGAGTTTACAATTGGATTCAACGTATCGTCCGATGAAGTCGTTACATTTGGTATCTGACTCCTCGAATTAGAATATCAATTGGAACAATGGGGAACGCCTCTCCTCCACTAGGTCAAAGTTATGCTAACTGGTTGTAGTTACGTAAACTTGCATTCGACTCGATCAAATTTACGGTATCTCCTCGTGAACACGAATAGCTTATTGGTCCCTACCCCAAATATTGTGGCAGACCAAACAGATGTTTATTTGCATACAGCTGATGTACACATCCATCCGAAAGCAAACATATTACGCTTGAAATCCATATAAATAAATGTCCGTGCAGCCCTCTCTCGTCCTTTCTCTCTCTCTTGTTCACTCCCTTTACATCTCTCCTTCTCGCTCTCATCCACGTCTGTGTCTCCGGTCTTCCGCAAACATTACACCGACAGTGCAATTCCACGCTAATATCATTCGCATGCAAATTTCACGCAAACTTTTACACGACGACATAAAACCGGAATGGATTTCCAGACACGACCGCAAGCCGACAACCCTTGAAAACCCAACCTCCGAATTGCACCCATCGCGGTGCGTTCATTCATTCGTACGAAATGAACCACCCCCATTCAAAATATGTAGATATATATTTAGTACAGTATATGAAGACACTTCATTTTTGGAGCATTAAACTTGCACAGCTAATTACAGGAAAACCGTAATTGCTACAAATATGCAAATTCATTCAAAATGAAGCCTGTTCATTTATCTTTAATTAAAGTGCTCATATTTCTAATTAACATCAAAGGTTGTCGAGTAATTAAATAAAATATGATAACAGTGTTTTTTTTAAGCTATCTATTCCTAAAGAACCGTAATAACATTTAAATTAATGTAATTAAATTAAAGCGTATATATTTAGCTTTAATTAGACTATTTATATTTATATTTATCATGATTATTTATCGATTATTATAAGAAAATGTAAAATCTTTGCTTTCAAAGTTGACAGCTTATTGCAGAAAAACTACAAGAGATACAAAATGTTAATTTATTCAAATTCAAGCTAGTATCTTTGCTGTTAATAAGAGTATTCATAGTTTTAATTAGAGTATGTGGTTGTTCAGTAATTTGATAAAATGTGAAGTCACTACATTTAAGGGAATTACACAATTTTGTCAACTTGTTACAAGAACACGACAAACACTACAAATATCGAACTATGTTCATATGAAATGTCATAGTTCAATATATAGTTTCAACAATCGATATTTTTATTAGCATTCATGATTATAGAGTAAATAAATAAATTGTAAAGATTAAATTGCAAAATTTAAAAATAAAAACGAGAAAGTATTGCTTTTTTTAATGCTTTAAAATGTTGACTGTTTATTGCAGAATAAATACAATAGACATAAATATGATTATATTTTCAAATGAAAGTCATTATGTTTGGTTTTAATTGATGTATTTATAGTTGTAATTACATGTGGTTGTTGAGTAATTTGATAAAATATAAAGTCACAACTAACAAATTTCATTACTCAATTTTGTTAACTTGTACAAGAACACGACAAGTACTACAATTAAAAGGTCATAGTTCATTCTATATTGTGTATATTCATTAGCATTCGTAATTATTGAGTAAATAAATAAATTGTGAGGACTCAAAAATGTATCAACAAAATTTGAAAACAAGAACGTGAAAGTATTGCATTTTTAAGGTGGAAATTTGAGGTTTTATTAATGGAATATGTCTAATATTATAAATCTAGTGGTATGTAGTATACGTATCTAGAGATCTATAACTATGCCCGATCCCTGAGCTCCTTGGAACGGAATGCCACTTACACAGAATTATCAGCTAATTACCGAAGCGCCGAAATTGCGTAACAGAACATTGTGCTCCGACCCAGCAGACACCGGAGTCTACTTTACGTAACAAAATTTAATTAGCCTGCACATAATTCAAGTCTTTGCGCGAAACTTTTGGAAAACTCCATTCTTCATACATGGTGTACAATTGAAAATTGAATTTTACATAAAAAAGAAATTTGTAACTTAATTATTTTATTTGTGTAGTTACTATAATTAATTCAGATTGTAAATTTAATGTAAGTGCATATAAATTTCAAGAGGTTTATTGTATAAGCGCAGTGGTCGGAGTTTATGTAAGACAGGCGTTTGTATCCTTGGACAAGTTAATGCTCCGAAGTTTGTGTTTCTTTTAGTTCCTCTTAAGACAAACAAGGAGTTGAGGTCCGGTTGTTTGCTGGAGTTTAATCCGTTACCGCATTGTTTCAGGTCTGGTGTCGTGGTCTTCACGCAGTCCTGATGCTCTTCCTCATATCCAACTACTCGTGGATGTTGGGAGAGGGATTATATTTGCACACCGTTCTAGTATCAGCGTTCATCTCCGAGACCAAACTCCTGCGATGCATGCTCCTACTAGGATGGGGACTGCCCATAATATTTGTCGTTCCCTACGCTTACCTTCGATACACGTTCGAGGACCAAAACGACGTTGGGTAAGTGTACCACCATCACCAACACTAACACCACGAACGTTCAACAAAGGCGGTCGACCGTAATTTGCAACGGCAGATTTACATAATCGAAAACTATCCCGGCTTAGTATTAAACGACCGCAGGGTGCAATCATTTATTCATTTAGATCTCCATAAGATGGCGAGGAACGAACGAACGAGTATGGTGTATAATTAAGTTTTAATTTTCTCTTCGCCTCAGGGAAATTAACGTTCTTTTATTCTGGAAAATTTTGTAAGAAGTTTTTTTTTGTTGATGAAATTAGTGCAAATGTTTGGGACATAATGGAAGCGACAAATTATTGCTTGCCATTAATTTGTACGACGGCAAAGATGCGCTTTTCCCAGGTGAAGAGTGGATCTGGGTCAACTAATCCTTGTCTATATATATGCATGCACTTTGCATTATGGACTGACCGACGTGTGCAATTTCCACGTTCATAAGCCGCACAATTCCACAATTCTAATTAATCCATATCATTGTTTGCATTATTTATAGTTGGATTACAAAAATTAAACTTTTAGTTATTCAAAAAATTCTAAATTAACTTCGGAAACTTTAATAATCTTACCAAGAAGAAACCACTAAAAGTTATTTTTTTTTATTCACAATTTTAAAATTAATTACGAAACCTTTAATTATCTTTCAAAAACTTAAATCTCATGAAAGTTTAGTTTTTTTTTTCATAAAATTTATATAAATAAATTGGTAAATTATATAAATATTTAATTTTTGATTTACAACGTTTATTTACAAATATTTTTCATTTTTTCATTCACGAAATATTTGTTTTACGTAACGATATAAATTGTGTATTTCAGCAAAAAGCAATGCATCAATAACTAGCAATTTTCATTTGTAAATGAAAATAAATGTATGCTTTATAAAAAAAAACCATTATGTAAATGCACAACAGGCGTTAAATTTGTTCAAAATAAACTAATATTATTGTTGTTAATTACTATTGTCTTATTATATAAGATACAAATAAATTAATTGCAAATAATAAAAAATATTAAAAAAAATGATAAAAATAAAGCAAAAATGATGTCGGTTACATAACACCCGGCACATCCACCAAAAAATAAGTGAAACAAACATAAATTTTGTCCAGTTTATCAAAGCATTTTGCGTAGCACTTAGATAATAATTATTAAATATAACCGCAATTTATCAAAATATCATTTTTATGCAATTGTTGGTTGTTATCATTAATTTATGTGTGCAATAAATTTGCTTTACTTGCATAAAATTGTGTAACATAAAAAATATTATTCCTCATCAATCTACAACTATGCAAAACTCTAACTACATGTAATATACATAAATAACAAACTCTTTAATTTCTGCTTAAATATTGAAATATGTTATGTTAATTAGTGAATTAATTAGAATTGCCAGTAAAACTTTGGTCGTTAGACATTAAAACCAATACAAAATTAGTAAATAAATAAGATAATTTATATTAACTTGAATGTAATTAAATTTGAACTATTTATTACATAATTGGCAAAAATACATTATAATAATTATTACGTAATATTTAAAAATATATTAATTAACTGCTAAATGATGTTTCGTATTAATATTTTTGTTTATTTTCTCATTTCCAATGTAAATAAAAATACACTCAATTTGTAATTTGTAATAATAATTATTATTATTATTATTGTAGCGATAATTAATGCAGTTCACGAAATGAAATGTAATGAAAAACATATATGCATATTTCATTCAAATTTATTGCCGGAAGGCAACTTTTTAGTATTTTTTTTATTTGAATCATATTTTGACTAATAATGTAATTTATTTATGCATTGAATTCAATAATTCTTTGTTTCATAAATCAATTGCGAAAACTTGGGGTTATAATTTATTGAAAAAAAAATATATAGAAATATTTTATGAAAAATTATATTTTTAAACATTAAATTACAATTGCACTAAGCGTTACATCACAAGTTACTTGTTCAAATTCATTACGCAATTTCTGTAATAAGCAATAACTTAATACGAAAGGAATTTGATAAAACTATAAAAAATAGGCGAGACATTGAAATATTTATTCGTTCCTCAATGTTATTTCGAATAAATTATTTTTATGGTCTAGACTCGTGTTGGAATTCTTTACACATCTTTTTCACGTTTTTTTACTACATTTCATTCAACTCTTTTATATTTCCGAGAATCGTCTACATTTTATTGCCGTATTCCTCAAATAAAATATTTTTTTTTATTAAATTATTTAACAACAATAAATTCTTTAAAAAAAGTATATTAGAATTTGCGTGCATGAAGAATTTTAATGTTAAACGTATTCAAGTTTGTAAATTAAACGGAAAAGTTAAAATTGAGTTTATTTATTGCATCTTTGGTTTGGACGCTGATTCTAAGCATTTTACCCCATTTACCGTAATTACTGCCGCAAACTCATTGAATCGTAATGGGGGTTGTAAATTTTCTGTTTGGTGCAAAGTAAACGCAAACGAGTGGGGCCCGCGGGGGATTTTAGCGAGTGCTGTCCGTTGTCCTGAGGGGATGAAGGACTAAATAAATCAGCTAATGTTCGGCCTTTTTTCCCCAATGAAAACCCAACCAACATTTGTATTCATCACGTTCTTTATTATCTCAATCATTGCAGCTGTTGGATGGACGATGGAAAGTTCTTCATTCTACTACAGATCCCAGTGGCCGTCAGCATCTTCCTCAACTTAGTCTTCCTGGCAAATATACTGCGAGTGTTGTACGTTAAATTGAGGCAGCAACCCCAGGGAGGATCCGGAGCTTCCAGGGCTTCACTTCAGGCTTTGAGGTAATTCACCATTAACACAAAATAAAAGACAACACACAACAAAAAACTAAGCTCACACAAACTTGCACACAACTTCTGCTCTTATAAGTTTACGAAAACTTATAAGAGACACCACTTTTCTTGCCGTTTTGTTCGTGGTCGAAAATGTTTTCAAACTGACGTGATTTATATCAATAAATAAACGTATCCAATCATTACGAAAACCTATTTGTCATTTAGTTTCAATAGGAGTGAAATTTATTACTTCTCCAACTTAAAGATAAATATAATCTTTATAATAATTTTACAAATTAATTTCAATAACTAATTTATACATTTCTTTGTCCATCGTATAAAAATCTTTGATTTTGAGGATTTTATTGATAATAATAAACTTATATAAGTTTAAATTTTATTCATATCGTGAAAACATAATTAAAATGGCTTGTTTTGTGGAAAAGTCAAGGTGTTATTATGTTGTGTGGACATAATCAATAAATATAAATAAATAAACGTATCCAATCATTACGAAAACCTATTTGTCATTTAGTTTCAATAGGAGTGAAATTTATTACTGCTCCAACTTAAAGATAAATATAATCTTTATTATAATTTTACAAATTAATCTCAATAACTAATTTATACATTTCTTTGTCCATCGTATAAAAATCTTTGATTTTGAGGATTTGATTGAGAAGAATAAACTTATATAAGTTTAAATTTTATTCATACCGTGAAAACATAAAAAATGGCTTGTTTTGTGGAAAAGTCACGGTGTTATTATGTTGTGTGGACATAATCAATAAATATCAATAAATAAACGTATCCAATCATTACGAAAACCTATTTGTCATTTAGTTTCAATAGGAGTGAAATTTATTACTTCTCCAACTTAAAAATAAATATAATCTTTATAATAATTTTACAAATTAATGTCAATAACTAATTTATACATTTCTTTGTCCATCGTATACAAATCTTTGATTTTGATGATTTGAATATTCTAGATTTTTTTTAGATTATTTGAAATAATAAACTTATATAAGTTTAAATTTTATTCATAACGTGAAAACATAATAAAATGGCTTGTTTTGTGGAAGAGTCAAGGTGTTATTATGTTCGTGGTGGAAAATGTTTTCAAACTGACGTGATTTATATCAATAAATAAACGTATCCAATCATTACGAAAACCTATTTGTCATTTAGTTTCAATAAGAGTGAAATTTATTACTTCTCCAACTTAAAGATAAATATAATCTTTGTAATAATTTTACAAATTAATTTCAATAACTAATTTATACATTTCTTTGTCCATCGTATAAAATCATTGATTTTGAGGATTTGAATATTCTAGATTTTTTTAGATTATCTTGAATAATAAACTTATATAAGTTTAAATTTTATTCATATCGTGAAAACATAATAAAATGGCTTGTTTTGTGGAAAAGTCAAGGTGTTATGGACGTAGCAAAAGAAGTAAAAAAAACTTTTCTTATTGTGTTTTCCTGTTTGGGTCTTCTAAAAAGTTTCGGATAAGTTTTCTTTGCGGAAAGGTCGTACGAAAGATGATACATGGAGGAATGTTGTTTTCTTGCTGTTTTGCGCCACGTATGACCTTTCGAACTTTCCCCACTTCGCATAAATTAATCTGCATACGAAACCGGAAATGAATCAAATTCCTCCAATCGTTGTGAACAACATTCATATACATGTGTTTCAGCGATAATTTTTCATTACTTCATAATTCAACGTTAATTACAGACAGCCGAATTGATGAAATCACAATGCATTTCCCAAACTTCCAACTTTCATTTGCATCTTTTTAGATCTAGTTTTCGAGAAAATCACTGCTCTTTCGAGCGTTCATTTTTCATTACTTTAAACCAGTGATTCCCAAAGTGGTCTATATCGACCCCCAGGGGTCTATGACAACCTGCAAGGGGTCTACGTCAGCGAAAAAAAAATTGGGGGTTCATGAAATTAAAATGGGGGTGCACAATGGGGACAATCAAAATCCCGACGTTCGAAATTTCGACTGTATCGAAATCCCGACTGTAGCGAAACACCGACATTCGAAATCCCGACTATATCAAAATCCCGACAACCATAATCCGGACTGTATCGAAATCCCGACTGTATCGAAATCGCGAATGTATCGAAACACCGACATTCGAAATCCCGACTATATCAAGATCCAGAACATTAATGAGTTATCTTCGCGGAATAGCTCATAGTCTTTCATTATAATTATTTTATTCATTTATGTATTATAATAAAGATAATTTTAAAAAAAAAATATTTCTAGAATATAACGGGGGGAGTTGAGATTATTAATTGTTGTTATTTATTTATTTAATTTCATTGAATTATTAATAATAATTTATTGTTATTAATATTAAATAATAGTTAAATAATAATAGATGATGACTACGCTTCGGAATAGTTTAAAAATGTTATTGTATACATTATAATAATAAAAGACACTGTCGGGATTTCGATATAGTCGGGATTATTATATATGGATGTAGGCATTCGCTTTGTGGTCGCAATACATTTTGAACTTGTAAAAACCTGCACATAATGATATACCAGTATCATCTTGTTAGAAGCATACGCAAAGTCTCAGAGCAAAGATCTTAATAATTATAAAGATCTAGGGAGTCTACCCAAAACCGAAAAACATGGCAAGGGGTCTACGACACAAAAAAAGTTTGAGAACCTCTGCTTTAAACTTTCTCCCATTTTGCATAAATTAATCTGCATACGAAAGCGGAAATGAATTAAACTCCTCCAACCGTTGTGAACGAGATTCGTATACATGTGTTTCAGAGCAACGCTTCTGCTGGTTCCGTTACTCGGCCTCAACTTCCTGTTGACACCCTTCAGACCCGACAAGGACGGTTTCTGGGAGTACCTCTACGAAGTCGTCCAAGCCGTAACTGCTTCATTACAGGTAAGTAACAAAGAAAAAAGTAGTGAAATTCAACTGAAAATAATCAAATTTAATACCGCAAAAATTGTATAAAATATATTTCTGGTCAATGGACAAAATCGTTTTCGCTATATAAATTGAAGAGCGGTTGGTTTTTGTACGTAAAAATTGCAATGATGCAATCCAATCAATCGGAGAACTCGGAAGAAGTCGAGGGAATATTGGAGATTGAGGATTTCATAGAAACGCAACAAAGGATTGCAAAACCGATAGAGATGAGATTTCATCATATTTTTGTAGTTGTTAAGAAACGGATACAAGTTTAGATTATTTCGTTTTCAATCAGAAATATTAAGCAACAAAATAATTACAATCAACAATGAAAAGAATAATCTATGAGAAAATTTCTATACAAAATTCAGTAGCAGTTTATTATGTAAATTAATCAAATAAACATACAATTATTAATTAGCAAACTAATAAAAAGTAAAATCCATCAGTGATTTATATATTTCCAATTTAATTACTTTTCCATTTGTATATTTAATTATTTACAATTGATTAAAAAAAAACACTTATTTGTATATAAAGTCCATTAGCAATTGATCAATAAAATATAATATGTATTACGTAACAAATTATTAAAAAATAGTATAAATATTCTCGACATTTATGTAACCTGTAGATTGGCTGATGTCAACGATAATTTGCGGTATTCAAGGAATGCGTGCGAGAAACAATAAGCGTCTGTTTCACCCTTAACAGATCTGAGGGAGAGATACAACCGGAAGCGAACGCGAAGGAACGTAAACAGAGGGTTGAAAAAAAAAATTGTTTTCCCTTGTGCATTGCGCGTTTAACGATTCAAGGGCGCAAAAAATACACTGTAAACACAACTGTGAATACAATTACAGCATTTCAAAGTGAAAAGTGAAGGAAAAGGGATATTTTTTTGGTAAAAAGAAAGTTTTTATAATATTATATAATTTTAAAATATTACAAAGATATTTATAATAAACAAATATATTTCATTGATAAATGCAGAGAAATGACAGCTGTCATAATTTATGAATGTGTAATATGAATATGTCAATAGAATTGACATGACACGTTTTTATCTGAATGATTATTATATGAAAGGCAATGGAAATAATCGTGGCTTCGCTTCAATTCAGCTGGGTTTCGGTTTCTGCCGGACGTCAATAATAATTATAGCGTTTTACCTATGCGAATTAGGATTTCCTATCTGCCAAATCGCATTAATCCGATGAATGCGAGCCGCGTCATTTCAATTATTTATAATAATTGCATTGACGTGCGATTTGCATGTATACATTCATGGAATTTTCGTATTCATCCGAACAATATCACGAATACTAATTTGATATTAGAAAATATACAGTTGTTTGGTATTCAATAACAATCAGTTAATTCAAATGACATGTATGACAATTATATAATAATTTCAATAGTTTTTTTTTTAAATTTATTTAAACCAAAGAATTATTTTGTATTCTCAATAACTTTGTTTCACAATATGATAACTGTCACCTTGTGTCAAAGAAAGGAACTGATGAAATACTGATAGCAGTGCAACTAAAAGCAAGTATGTTGTGACAGCTGTCACCTTAGGATCTGGTGACATATTCTTATCAACTATTAACAAATATGTTATATTATTACTTTTTTTTATATCGTATAAATTTATTCACAATCTGTTTGATTGATTGATGCAAATACTTATATAAACATATATGAATATTACTTGTAACTTGCCAAGTAATATTTGATAAATTTTAGGACATTTTTGTAAAAATAATGAATATATTTGAAGATTGTAAAATTAAATTCAATACTTGTTTAATCAATTTTTATTTCATTGAAAAGTGACAAAACATTTTGCACATTTGGCAAGAGTTTTCAACAATTTAAACAATTACATAGTTACCAATATTTACCAAGTAACTTATATAAGTACTTGCATGAGCAGTCTGATGCAATTACTTATATAAACATATATGAATAAGACTTCTAACTTGCCAAGTAATTTTACATCAATTTTAGCAAATGTTATATATTCAGAAAGATAGATTTATAATTAAATATTAAATATTTTAATTGTTTAGTAATTATAAATAATTTCTTGTATTTACGGATTATTCAAATTCTATATTTGCGCGTTTTATTAAAATTGGACGATAAAACTTCGCACACACCTGCGTCTCGATGAATCACAGCTGCAGGTGCGTACAAATAAACAAATCCATATTTGGGTACGAAAACACCTGCATTGTTTAAACAATCGTTCGGAAATGCGAAACGTCGCGAATTGTCACGAAGAATTAGCTACAGCTGCAACTACGTATCTAAAACGTTAAACACATTTTTATATTCACATGAAGAATGCTGCTTTTTGATTCGAATATTTTGAAACGAGCGTTAATTATTACAAATTCAAACAATTATGGAAAAATGTATATGGAAATAATGCATTTCATTCCATGTTTAAATTGAAATAATTGTATACTAAACAATATTTGCCAAGTAACTTATAGAAGTACTTCTAGAAGTAGTCCCAAAAAATAAATGTTTTTATTGATTTGATTAATTGATGCAATTATTTATATAAACATATATGAATATTACTTGTATTTTATATTACTGCTTTTTCAAGCTTTAATTTTTCGGAATTTCATTTTTAAATACGAATTACATCCAAACGGATAAAGTCACAGCAATATTTGAATACACTTTATATTCCCCAATTATCTAACTATCATATGTATCTTTTGGATCTATTCTATCTATTACAGTTTCTGAGAAAATCAATATAATGTGAATACACGGCTTTTTCGATCGTTAATTTTTTGTAATTTCATTTTTGAATAAGAATTACAGCAAAACGAATAAAATAACAGCAATATTTGAATACACGTTACATTCCCTAATTATCTAACTATCATATGTATCATTTAGATCGATTATATCTATTACAGTTTCTGAGAAAATCATTATAATGTGGATACACTGCTTTTTCGATCGTTAATTTTTCGTAATTTCATTGTTGAATACGAATTAGAGCCAAACGGATAAAATCACAGCAATATTTGAATACACGTTAAATTCCCCAATTATCTAACTATCATATGTATCATTTGGATCCATTCTATCTATTACAGTTTCTGAGAAAATCATTATAATGTGAATACACTGCTTTTTCGATCGTTAATTTTTAGTAATTTAATTTTTGAATACGAATTACAGCCAAACGGATAAAATCATAACAATTTTTGAATACACGTTACATTCCCCAATTATCTAACTATCATATGTACCATTTGGATCTATTCTATCTATTACAGTTTCCGAGAAAATTATTATAATGTGAATACACTACTTTTTCAATTGTTATTTTTTCTTAATTTCATTTTTGAATACGAATTCCAGCGAAACGGATAAAATCACAGCAATATTTGAATACAAGTTACATTCCCCAATTATCTAACTATCATATGAATCAATTGGATCAATTCTATTTATTACAGATTCTGAGAAAATCATAATAATGTGAATACACTGCTTTTTCGAGCGTAAATTTTTTGTAATTTCATTTTTTAATAGGAATTATAGTCAAACGGATAAAATCACAGCAAGGTTTCAATACACGTTACATTCCCCAATTATCTAACTATCATATGTATCATTTGGTTCCATTCTATCTATTATAGTTTCCGAGAAAATCATTATAATGTGAATACACTGATTTTTCGAGCGTAAATTTTTCGTAATTTCATTTTTGAATACGAATTACAGCCAAACTGATAAAATCACAACAATGTTTCAATACACGTTACATTCCCCAATTATCTAGCAATCATATGTATCATTTGGATTCATTCTATAAATTACAGTTTCTGAGAAAATTATTATAATGTGAATACACTGCTTTTTCGATCGTTAATTTTTCGGAATTTCATTTTTGATTACGAAATATAGCCAAACGGATAAAATCACAGCAATATTTGAATATACGTTGTATTCCCCAATTATCTAACTATCATATGTATCATTTAGATCCATTCTACCCATTACAGTTTTGCGATTTCACTATTTCTTTTGACTGTGAAACTGCAACTTACATTGCAAATTTATACTTTTAATAAAGTAGCCACGTCAACAATTTTTAATAAATTTCAAATTGATCATGAATTTTCTCTAAAGGAGACACATTGCAATATTTCCATGTCTGACAATCAATAATTTGGCTTTCTTTGCGTTCTCGTGCACTTTTACAAGGGAGTAACGAAATTGGATTTCTTCGGGGCTAAATTTATGCTCGAAACGATAGAGAATTTATATTATATGCAAATGTTGAGATGGATGCATGCAGATGGCGACGGATCATTGAATAATTCTCTGAGAAGATATGTAGTTATTTTGGATTCCCCCACACCATGATTGGTTAGCATTAAGTGCAAAACCGTGTAGTAACTTCGACTCCACGAAGAATCCCATCCGAAACCAAAAATACCACTTCTGCATTTCCACAATAATTATACGATTCGTTAAATATTTAACACAGTTTCGACGAAAATAGAAAAATCAATATTATAAAAAGCTTACTAATTAATTATGAATACAATCTAATAACTGAAAGATTTAATCATTGTTCTTTGATGTATTTTGTTAAGTTTCATTAGCTTTGGTTTCTCTTAGATAATTAATATTGTAATCAATATTTGATTGAGATTTAATTAATTGGGTATTCCGTATGGCTTATCCATCGGTATCTAATGTGGATGGGTCTAGAGGAGAGATCAAAAGTCCGGTTCGATCGTTTAATTATGGACTCACTCACTATTCAATTATAATTGAATACACAGCTTTAACCCAACGAACATCAATTATCAAATTTCCATAACCTTCTTTGATTCTCCATCGAATCACTTAATTGGAGATGGCTTTGACTTTAAACGATATTCATATAAGATTTATAATTGTATTATTAATTTAACCTTCACTGCGTTAAAAAAAAACTGAATTTAAGTGATTAATTTAGTTATATAAAGAAATTATGAAAATATTATAGATTATTTTTATAGGAATTTACTACAGTTTCATAATAAACTGTGTACAAAGTTTGGTTTAAATAATATAAGTAAATATTCTTTCATTATTTTAATAAAAGTTTTACTGAAAATAAGTATTTTATTTCTTACAAGATGGACTTTAAAAAAAAATGTTTACAAAGCAATTTCTTTCGTGACTCCGAGAACGAAATAAAGTTACGTTGTATGGACACCTGTTGCATCTCCTTAGTTACTGTTGTCTTGGTAAAATTGCATTACATAACATTATTGCAAATCCAAAGATGTCACAAATCTTCCTTACAAAAACAAAATAATGTCCTAATTATGGTAAGACACATAATAATTAATTTAATAAAACTTTTTTAATTGATTAAATAAAAAATATTTAATTAAAATTGTAAAAAAAAACGCTGATGTCCTAATTATGGTAAAACACATAATAATTAATTTAATTTAATTAATTAAACTTTTATAATTGATTGAATAAAAAATATTTAATTAAAATTGTAAAAAAAAAATCACTGAATTAAAATACTAATTTTGAAAATTAACAATTGAAAATATTTGAGTAATTTAAAAAAATACTAATTAATTATTTCTATGATTAAAATATGAATGAGTAAAATTAAATTATTTAAAAACAAATATTTCTTTTTGTGAAGTAATGAAAGCAAAATATTTTTTTTTACATCCCTAAATTTGAGTCTTTTTACGTTATTACATATACACTTTTATTTCCTGTCTCTCCGCGAAACCACTCAATCGAAAACCCCGGAATGTGTGAGCTTTCTCTCTTTTATTCTTTTTTATTCATCCAATAACACAGCGGAGGGTGGAAAAACAAAAGAGTAATAGAAAGGTGGAGGTATAAATGCGTTTTTTTTTCTCATTTCAAAGAACAAAAGGTTTCCGAATGTAGAGGCAATGGGACGTGAATGATTCGGGCTTAATGGCTCAATTGAAACGGCCCAACTGTTAGAGAATCTTTATTAATGTTTCGTCGATCTCCCACATATATTGTAGCCCTTTTCCTTCCGTTCTGTCCTATTTAACAGCTCGAAAACAAAACAAAATCCTGATTTGAATAACGTTTAAACATTAACCCTTAGTTTTTTTTTGTGTTCTATTCGGAGCGTTGATTAAAGCTTGAAACGAAGTTGTTATGAACGTTATTTTCGAAACGTCGAAAGGCAAATATTGCCCGCCGGAATTAGAACGAGTTCCGTTCTGCGTATTAACGTGATTACGTTACTTTATATGCAGGATTGCTCAACAGTTTTGTTTCGCATGCATAATGTTATATAAGTGGAAAGTTAATTAACTTTTTGCTGCTGTATCAGACCTTTTCCGAGGCGACCTCTGTATACGTACACCTCTGCACACCCATGAACATGCAAAGCGCACATCCGTAAAAGCAGCGGGAAAATTTAATTAAATTTTAATTTATCACCGGTTATTTGCAAAAGAGAGGAAAATTATAACAAAAAAAAATTGAACGATTGTTGAAATTAAATAGGAAATAATGCGTGTAAAAATTAATTTACCTCAGGATTAAATAGGAATATTTGAAATACATTTTATAAGTTTTGTAAACTTTATTAAAATTTATAAAAATAGATATGTTTTTTACTGGATTCTGTAAAATTAGTGATATACAACAATGAAAGAGGGAAGAAAAACCGTTAAACGTAAGTTGAGACTGTTTCCTGTCAGTATTCACGGCACCCTTGTGATTTAAACGGTTTTTTATGCGTTTACGTAACAGTGATAAAACGCGAACACTGCTCGGCATAGTAATATAACCTTTCGTAGAAGAAAGATGGTCCAAGGAGGAGAATAAGTTCAAAGGACTGGACTCCATCCAAGCAGTAAATAGGCATTAAAAGGACGGAATTACTGTGTAATTCCGATCGATTGAAAGTTCTTTTTTGTTAGGAAAATAGGATTATCTGGTTTTGGGTGTTCATAACAAATCTAATGATTTTTATCGGGGTGTCGGGTAATTAATCTGGGTCGGTTTGCGAAGCTCCGATGAAGTTTGGCAAGGAATAATGGGAAACTGATAAGAGCAGTAGACAAGCAATTCGATTAGGTTGTAATCAATGGGGCATGGATATCTTCGCTCAAAGCCTATCCATTTTCACTTTGAACTTGCCTCTAAAAGAAGTGATCCTTTTTTAAGCAAAAAGAGAAAAAGTAATGAAAGTGTGTAACAGGGATAACCTAGTAAAGACATATAAAAATTAAGTAATCGATTGGTCGAGCTTCAGAATTGCATTTCTGGATATCAGGAATTGTACAAAAAAATAGCAAATCCATCGCAAAGTTTAATGATTGATTATATTGTCAAGGGAAAAAATCAACATGCGAAGTTGAAACTAATTTTACTTGTGAAGAATCATTATCTTCAGATCTGATATGCTGACTATCTCTTTAAGAGATGAAAGTGATTTCGAATTATGCCGAACACTCTCATATAGTGACGATAATTCTAAAGAAAAAATGTGAAGAAAGATTAACTTTCATAAAAAAATTCTGTACTTTTTTTGTAAAATTTTTCCGTATAAATTTAGAAGGAATATGTTAAGATTATATTTTCCTGAAATTTAATAAACTTGTCTATGATTGTTAACGTTTTTATAAAATTATGAATAAACATTTCAGAACATTTTTCTGAAATTTAATAAACCCTTTTTTATGCGATTTTCGATATATTGTAACTCATTAATTTAGTTTTATGCGGTTTTAAAAAATGGAACGTATCCTTTATTTTTATACGTGTATCTAGTCCTTTTTTGTGCGATTTATTTTTATGCGTTTTTCTGTGGAATGTATCTACCGCATAAAAAGAGAACCAAGTGTATTAAAAAATCATCATTAATTGAAGGCATCAAAGAAAAAATGTAACTTTTAACATTTGTGTTTTTTAATGTAATTATGAAATTGTCATCATTTATTAAAAACTTACAATAATATTAAATAATAATTAAACACTCCTGAATATAAGTAAAAATATTTAAGAAAATAAATTTCATGGTTTATATATTTTATTATTTTCATGCTAAATTACTCCATCTTACATCTATTTATTTTTTTTAGCAAGAATAATAAATGGAAATTGCTTAAGGGACACAGGTCCATGAATATACTGAGACTTTACCGTGTATTAAATTTGCTTACAGAAGCAAACTGATCTAACGAGTAAATTTAATGAAATCCCTTACTAAAAGTATAATAAGAACTAACATCAATCACTCTTGCAACACAGGACTAAATACATAAAGCGAGAGAAAAAATAAAAGAAAGATAAATCGAGAGAGAAAGAGTGCTTTTTACGAGTCCTATGGGGGCAGAATTTCGCTCGAGAAATAATTTTAAGCCGAAATTATTTTTGATTGCACCATTAAATCCGAGTCCCAATTATTTTTCGTTCAAAGTCTAGTCTAGACAATTTAACTGTTTCACTTTGATCGAAAGGTCGAGTTTTTTTTTTACTAAAACCGCTGAAACACCGAAATTGGTTTAATTGCGATATGATTATATTGCTTAACGTTATAATTTTTGCATATTCGATTTGTTGCACGAAACTTGCCAATGCAACCAAATCAACTAGAATGTTAATTTTGCTAATTCCAATTCCATGTTAATTAATTTTCCGGTGTTTGTTTTGTGCTCTACACTACACAGCTTGTAGAAATTAAACCCAGTTTCCACTTACTTCCATAGAGAATTTAATAATAATCATCACCGATTTAAAGATATTTGAATATTTTCCATAATTTTACACTAGTTTAGTGGAAACTATTAAAACTGATCTTTTTATAATTTAACTTTTCTTATAAAAACTAATACAATTTATAAAACTAGTCTAAATTTTATAATTTTACCGAAAAACTCAAAAGTTTACCACTTTTACATATTTTATGATTACATCAAAAACGTTTCTCTTTTCTACAATTTTACTTAATTACTCTATCATTATAGCAAACATATCCATATTAAAGACAAAACTATAGCTTTTCCATTTACTTCTATATAATTTTATCATATAATAATCTACAAATTAATAGTACTTAAATTACTAACTAAAAATTGCTGCAGGAAAAAGTCCATACATTACATCACTTTTTTTTTCTTGTTGTTTCGAATTCTGCACAGTTTCCCGAGTAACGTATTCACGTATGCACGGAGTGAAATAATTGCTGGTAATGAATGCAGAAAAAAAAAATGAAAATATTTCGTAACTTTTCGCGCAGCAAAGTGCTTAACAAAGTTTTAATTAATGCAACGTGTTCGGGGTAAATTTGTAAATTAAAGTCAAGATTACACAAATGGAATGTTACATCTGTATAATACATACTTATATCTGCTATGTACACACTTATGTACTTATACGTACATCGCAGATTGCAAACCTAATTACGCACTTTGAAAATTTACATATCTTCATAAAATATGCTGGAAAATGTTATTTTTATACATAATCAAATTGAATTATTCAGAAAATCGTCTTTGAATACATTTCAAATTATTTATAAATCAATTATAAACGTTTTTTTATATATATGTTTCAGGGATTATGTGTGGCCATACTGTTCTGCTTCTTTAACGGAGAGGTAAATGTCTTATTTTTCAGCTTTCAGACCTCTTTTGCTAATGCTTGTTGATGTTTTTTTTCAGGTGTTGGCACAGATGAAGAGGAAATGGCGAGCGGCGACGTTCAGACCGAGGGCGAACTCTTGTACGGTAACAACCGTATCGGTACGTAAGGTAGATACTTTTCAAACTTTTACGACAAACAGTAAAACGATAGGAAAAGGGATTATCGAGCTCCATGCTCCAGACTGCATCACTCACACGTCAAAACTTACTATTCCTCCACAACCATCCCTCTTCAACTAAACTCAATTTAAAACACATTTAACATACTAACAGATAATACAACATATCTAAACCCTTGTCAAACTTTCACATTTTAACTTTTGAACCACAAATCCAGACACATCATCTCACAATTAATTGATTTAACAGACGATATTTTTCAACATTCTTATAGAAAAAGATAATTATAAGAAAATTCTCTCTACATCTAGTTTTTTTGTAATTTTTAATAATAATATAATTTTGTGAAAGAGAATTTTATTGCATTCACAATTTCAATAGCTTCTTGTCAAAACTGAGCTTACTGTGAAAGAAAGCGTAATTAAACGTGCTGAAACTCATTAATCATGCAAAACTTTATTTCCTTGATGAAAATTCGGAATTGCGTTAAAGAAATCATTGCGATGTTTACAACGGTTAATTAATGAACGATGTTTTCGCGTTTCCATTCATTGCATCAACTTTACAAGTGCTTGCATGAACGCCGGACGATTGTGTATTTATAAAAGCATTGAAATGTTAGTGACAGAGAAGTAATTATTCTTAATACCAGGAAGTAGTTTTTTTTTCTAGTTCATTGTTAGAAACTAATTAAGAATTTACAAACGTATTTAATGGAAAAATAATGCATTTCTTTAATAAAAAATGTAATTAATTTATATAAATGAAGATATTACATGATTATATAACAACTTCTGAGTTGACTTCTACATCATCATACACAACAAGAGCAAACAGTTATTTGATAATATGATCTTACATCTTTCATAAATGATCATGCAACTTAATTATGAATGAAAATAATTAATTAATATTAGTTTCATAATTGCAGAATTGCATTAAAGAAAACATTGCGATGTTTACAACGGTTAATGAACGATGTTTTCGCGTTTACATTCATTGCATCAACTTTACAAGTGCTTGCATGAACGACGGACGATTGTGTATTTCTAAAAGCATTGAAATGTTATCGTTCTTAATGACAGAGAAGTAATTATTCTTAATTTTTTGTAGTTCATTGTTAGAAACTAATTAACAATTTATAAAAGTATTTAATGGAAAAATAGTGCATTTCTTTGATCCAAAAAGTAACAAACTTATATAAATTAATCCTTTGAAGATGTTACATGATTATATAACAACTTCTGAGTTGACTTCTACATCAACATACACAACAAGAGCAAACAGTTATTTGATAATATGATCTTACATCTTTGATAAATGATCCTTTCTGAAGGATTAATTAGAAACTTAATATAATTTGAATTAGTCATTATTAATAATTATTTTCTATAAAATATATTTCATTATTTCGTCTCAAAAATAAGCTTTAATTAAATGAATTCAATAAATTCACGATCAATTTGAAAATTACTCAACGCAGCGCATTGCAATTAGCTCCATTCATGCAACTTAATTATGAATGAAAATAATTAATTAATATTAGTTTCATAATTGCTGCTCAGATATGAAAAACAAAAAACAACAATACGCAATTAATTTAATTGCAATATAAATAATTATTATTTAAAAATATTTTTCTGAATCTGTGCTTCAATTGATTTACAATTTCTGCAATTTGTCGTCTCGTATTGTACCAATCATATAGTGTGTCAGGAATTAAAGTGATGTTATCTAACCGTCACCTATTGTATTTCGGAATCGGATCGAGTGGTGAAACACACAATTGCATTGGAAACACAACAACGATTGTTGCAAATCCGCATTAATTGCCTGAAGAGATGATCCACTCAGAACACCCCATGCGAAAGCCATAATTCCATCGCATCTGCTAACGCTCAAAGCATGTCCACGAAATTAACAAACAAAAAATTAACTTAATTTAACATTAACTTATTTATTTACTTTGTAAACCGACCTTTTGATTATCTATTATCTAGGACGCCTCAAAGAAAAGGAAACCCATCGACGAAATTGGAAGACTTTTACCACAAAACAATCCTTAAGAGAAGAGAAAGAAAATATTTTCAATTATATTTACAATTTTTTTTTATTTGTAATCACACTAATTTTACTTTTGTCAAATTTTATGTACATTAATTTATTAATTTAAGTAGAACACTTATATTTTAATTTATTTATTTTTTTTATTATTTTGGATCAATAAATCATATGAACGTTGTTGTACTCAGGATGCGAAACTCGCGTTTCTTTTGTTTTCTTCCGAGTGGTAATTACTGCAATTACCACGAAATGTGCAGTTCGCGTGTGCTGGAAGATTATTTGCAATCATGGAATTTCTTAAATAAAGTTATATTTTATGTGTACCCTTATTTTTCTGTTCTTTTGCGAAATATATATTTTTTTTTTGTGGGAGATAAGATTGAATGAGGAAGACAGTAGGTATTTTGTTGGATGGAAAGAAATGATAGCAAGAACAATTTAGGTCGAAAGATCTGAATTGTGGATGAAACGACGCCGAGGAAACTGTGCGTGAGATGATGGGGATTGGCAAAACAAAACTCCTTAGTTTTGTTATGATATGCTTTCCCACTAATTCCAGGAGTGAATGTGTTTGTTTGTATGGGAGAAGGGAGGATGTAACGACCGGAACTTTATCACTTGGACTTAATTAAATTGCACTAAATGGATATACTTGTTTCACTAATTAAATTAATTCATTATAACATTAACAATTTAGGTTTATTAATTGTACGATTATTTTTAAACAGGTAAAGTATCATTAAGAAAGTTAAGCAACAATGGTATTTAGATAGGTGATTTCTATATTTTTGGTATAAAAAATTACATACTCATTAAGTTTATATAATTGTGTATTTTCTTCATTCTTATAGGTCAAATGTTAAAAAACTAGATCGCAAACTATTACTTTTTCTTCTAATTAAATATTATTTAAAAATATAATGAACGTATTACAAAAACCATAAATGCGGTCTATAAACTAGGGAAACCGAAAATTCGTTATTTAGTTTTGCGATTGAATTAAGTTTCAGGGGATTTTCCACTTTCCATTCATTAGTCGTGGAAAGTTTCACACGAATTTTGTTAACGAACGCACACACTTGAACAAAAGCGTGACCGCAAACGGAAAGCTTTCAGCCCTTCGTCCAGACCTCACTCTCTCTCTCTGCGGTCTACCGTGCGTTATTTTTGGACCTGAAGAACTTTGTCCATTAATTGCGCTCCTCTGATTGATTCCTTTATTTTCCAGTTTGTCCGATCGTCGTACCCAAACGGCGAGGAGAAGATATGACTAGGAGCCATAGGTCGCAGGGCTTCGCAGTGGATACAGTCTAGGAGGTCATCCACGATGTTGGTGAGGACGACCAGCAATGCGGCGGCTTCGGCTCAACAGACAACGGCTCAGTGCGTATAGATCGAAAACCCTTTGTAAATATTACCCGGAATTCCGAAGGGTTGATGGAATTAGATTGGGAGAGGTGTTTGGGGGATGAAGTAAAAATATATATATAAACACGAAGAAGGGATGAGAAGGAAATCGTCTTGAGAGCTTTGGGGACTAAACATGTTATTTAAATTTACATCTCTCTGGCACATCATCAATCCTTTTTTCGCTTATTCCATTTCCTCCCTTTACCGATCTGCAGGCCCAATTTATTCCTTCGCATCCAATGTTCACGCCTCGCCCTTTGTCATTTAATCATGTTTTTGCCTCCTGTCATCTGCATCCATAAGAATTTATTAAGCAGCCCCACAATTCTTTCATTACTGACCTTCTCTTAGATGCTTGAGCTTAACTACTATACAAAATTTGTAAATAATCTAGCAAATAATTAGGCAATAGTAATTACAAAGCAAACTATTTTATATCACATCTAATATATTATTAAAATCGTAACCATGGAGAATCATATTTTTAGAAGCTATATACTTAAACTCTCATCCAGCCCTAAATATTCAAATATAAAATTGATAGATTGTCATTTTTATGTAATATTTCGTTAATTACGGTGCAAATATTAAACAATGAAATGCTTTATATAATTTCACGAAATTAACAGATATTTTTTTTTATCAAATCTGCTTAAAAATAGACGTATTCAATTGTGAAATTGGTGTAAATTAATTAGTTGATAATATTGAGATTTAGGTTAAAATCTAAATTAAATTTACAGATAAGTTTAATGTGCAAGATTTTTTAGCTCAATGTCTATATAGTGATATAAAAAATAATAATAATGGATGCTTTAAGATGTATTTTTATTAGCAAAATTTAATTTGTAAATGAAATAAAATTAAAAACTAAATCTACTACTAACCACAAAAAAAATACTAAATATATTAGTTGAACGAAATTTATTTTAAACTAAATGAGTAAACCATGATCTCACTGGACCTGAAGTTAAGTTTAAGAAACGTTAATTTAACTTGGAACAATCTAAGATAACCTGGAACTATTTATGTGATAACAATGATGTAATTAGATTAACAGATCTTAAGTTAATTAACAAAATTATACTTAAAGTTAACTAATTTGTATTATATCAGTAAAACAATAATGGTGTATAGGAATGTAATCTATATTTTTGTAATATTGTAAAGCGTTATGTTTTTCAGAAATAGTTTTCTTGTTTTTGGGAAAGTTTCTTTGATGATTGTAGTTATTTGTTAATATTGTAATAATCTTGTAGAGATTACGTGTAAACGTTTTTTGGAGTAAGGTGAAATCGAGAAGAATCTCTTCGATAAATGTTTATTGTGCACAAACAGATGTACGCTTTGATCCTTCAAACTCGTATCTCGGATCTTGGAAAACGGGCATTGTTTTCCTTTCCTTTTCCATTCCAATTTCCCAAACCACCAGCGCCCCCCGAAAATCACTTCTCTTATTGGCTACTCTTCCTAACCGTTATTAAACCTTTCTGCCTGAGGATGGAAAAACAACGGCGCAGTTTTCTCAATACCTTTTAGAGAAAAACAACAAATATCACATGATATCAATGGAAAATAAAATTTAGATGCACAATGATATTGTACATGTAAATATTTATAAATAAGTTTATGTAATCATATGACGTGTATAGTATCTACGTTTAGATGAAGTGTACGAAATGAATGTGTAATAACTGTAAATGGAATAAAGGAGACTTCAATTAGCGCGTAATCCGCAAACTTCCGGCTTCCTGTTCGAAAACCACACTGAATAATCCCAAACCATATAAATATGGTACAGGTAAATACCGTTTGAATTATGCAGAGTTCCGGCTTTTGCAAGATTTACCATAATATTGCGTAATTTACGCAGTTTCTCATCTTTTGCAAAATAAATCGTCAAATGAAAATACAAAATGAAACGTAAACATTTCTACTTTCATGCACTCAATTTAATTTCGCCCTAAAAATAATAACGTTTCGCGTACATTTTCTTCAATTCGAAACAATTGTTATTCTAAAATAACCGACGCGGGTGAAGCGTGTTTTTACTGTGCTAATAATAACCATTGACATTGGCAGCTGTTGCAGTCATAAACCGTGATTATACAAGAATATTCGCGTATCGTATTCTTAAGTTTATGCGCGTCGTTAAACTTTGAGAGCATTACGATTTCTATCGCACATCAGTTTTTTTTTTTACGTAATCCATCATGTGGATTATTATGAAAACTTGCATACATTGCGCTTTGGGAATTTCTTATTACCTTAATAGGCTACATTCATGCAAACTCAATCATAATTATTTTTATACTAATTATCATTAATGTTATAAGAAAGGTAAGTGTATTAAAAACACAATAATTTAACACAAATTTTATATTCACTTTTAATAATTTTCATAAAAGTATGTTTGAAAAAAAAATTTTTTTTTGCTTTGCTACCATAGGATTTATGTTATATATATTTCAGCTCTGAAAACCCTATTTTCAGTTCAAATATTTATCGATTTAAAAATAGAAGCATTCACCGAAGAAACGAGGGAGAAAAAAATATTGAAGGCGAATCCCGTCCCCATATTTATTAACAAATATAAGGAATGATTTCGAGGGTGGATTGAATTTAAAGCAGCTCAAACATGCGTGTGAGGATTCTCTTCCACCTCGTTTCTGGCACGTCTTCCGGTTCCGTTCGATGGGAATACGAATACGGCCTATTTACCCGTACGCCCTTCGACGAATCGAATATCTGTCATTATTATATTTTTGTTTGCATACTTTCTTTCACTGTTGTCCCTAGATGTTCTCATTACGAAACTGCGCATCGCTTCGCGATGCTGGTTACGTGATGTCGCTGAGGATTCCAATTAAGATTTCGGTGCGGATCAGTGAACCGTGCAAAGTAAACGCACACTACATCATTCAAACACTAGGTCCGACGACCATCTTCTTGACTTTTCCATTAAAAGGTCTGTTTTCCTCCTCGACGAGGACACGTCTCCAATAGTAAACAGACTCTTGAGAGATTTATACATTGGTTAAAGACGCATAAATAACTTTCTGTTCTTCTGCTGCATACTCCATAAAAATTAACTCATTTTGCAGAATATATTTAAGTCTTGTAAGTGAACTTCTGCAGCTGATGATTCCTCCTAAAATAACATCAAAGTTTTAATGAGTTTTCATATTGACCTTCACAAAATGTACTTTTTTTTCCATCTCTTCTACTCTCTACAAATCATCTCTTTAAACCTAAATACAGAACTAATTATCTTCTATATTCTATACTTACTTAATAAATAAATTAAAAAAAATGAAAATTGTGAATATGCAGAAATTAGCAATATTTTCGCAAATTTTTCAATACTTTGAAAAAAAAACAGAAGAAGTACATCGTATTACAACTTCTTTGTTTTAAGGGTGTACACAGCCCCCTTTGTCCAATCTTCTTAATTGACAGCCATTGGAATGCTAATGAAGGAACGGTTTAAATTTGATGCAAAGACATCTGTCAATTAGGAGGAAGAAATTGGATTACAAGGCCTACTGGGAAACAGCGAAAGAACTTTAATTAAATTATTAAGGAGAGTGCAAAAAAAAGAGGAAATAGAGATAAATTTAATTACGTAAGCTTCGAACTAATCGCGCCCCTTAAATCAGCGCTTCAATTCCTTTAATTAAGTATAATTTCAATTTTACCCTCTTTCCCTTATTCCTTCCAATTAAAAATTTATTAATTTCAACAATTGAACAATCATTGAAAGTTTCCCAAGTAGAAAAAAAAAACTAATACAATTTAATTAGCAAGAAAAATCGTAATTTCTGATAGAGTAAATCACATTTTAGCATATGATTATTGTTGAATTATGTAATGAAAACGTCAGGATGCTTCTTTTCAACAACGTCATTTTTGACAGATCATAGCAGACGAACGGATGACAGCAGAAAGCTACCAGTGGACTCATTGAAAAGTTGAGACTTTCAGCTTTAAATATTCGATAATGGCTCTAGGAATTAGTTCCAAAAAACCCACCTAAAATCCATCTGTATCCACGAATCTATAAAAAAAAGAGCTCCAATTTAAATTCAGAAAGAGATAGGGAATGAAGAAAAGTTATACAAGCAATTACCCATTTGATATTGGTATTGAAAGCTTCGAATTCTGGCCAAAAGTTGGAGTTTATAAATCCCTAATTGGTTCTGGGCTGATGCACAGAATACGCTTGATACTGAGTTAATTTCCGCCAGGATAACGTCATTTTCTTCGTGGAACTCCTCCAAAACCAGAATTAGTACATCTTAATTTGAAGCCTTTGATGCAATTTCTCCATCCTAGAGAGATGCGCAAAATCGAATTAGTACGTGCTGAAACGATCCTGCACTGTTTTTTTTTCTTCAGGGAAAAGAAACGTCTTTGAGGATGTGCGAAAGAAAAGCGTTTTTATTTTCCGGGCACGCGACGGTGGATGTTCATCTGCGATTTGAGAAAAGCGTAATTTCTTTCCCATTAAATGGAGGGAAAAACGGAACAAAACGGAGGAATGAAGTTAATGCGCCGGAAACGTTCACTTCGATTACGCATATTTCCCAGTGAGATTGCAGCCAAAGAAATCTTCTGGGAGGAGTAAGAGAGAGAGAGAGAGAGAAAGAAAAACATGAAGAAAATGAGAAATTGGATAATGTGGATGAGAGAGAGAGAGAGAAAAAGGAAGTTCTTCTGTAAATTACCGAGCGCGAAAGAAAGAGAAAAATTGAATCGTTAGGTAAACTCAATTAATTTAAGCACAATTTCCCGGCGTCAATATTTGTCAGGATCTGGTAATTAAAATGGCTTTCTGCATCAGGAATCAATTAAAAATGTATTAAAACGAGCGTAAAGAATCTATTGTCTTTTTGACAAAGTTACGTTTTTTTTTTCTCAAAGAAAATCTTCCTATCAATAAATTACTTACAACAATCTTCATAAATAACATTGAAAAAAGATGGTATAGCATAGATATTTCCAATTAATGAAAATAGTCGTGTTACACAAACTACTTACATAATCCAACTTTTTTCTTCTTGTTTTTATGGAAACCCTTTTACACTACATCTCTTTACTAAAAATTATATGAAGTAACTAAAATTCAGATTTCATCATTAAAACATAAATTAATAATAAAAATCATAACTATACTTCATTAATCTTGATTTGAAATCTGTAAAATTCATTGATTAATTCTCAAGATTATACTCGAAAACAATATATAATCGATCAATCATAATCTGATTACGTTCTTCGTTATTTCTAAAATCCGGTCGCATTATAAATGAAAGCATTGTAGGTATATTACATAACGGGGCAATTTTTTTACGCGTTTGGACAGGCCGAAGAAAAAGTTTATTTTTTGATTGATTGTGTGAGTATACGCACAATTATGTAAAATCAATGATACTATCAGAGTGTAAACCGTCTCTGGGTCAATGGAATATTTTGATATCTGTAATCGTCGATTTCTTTAATCTCATCGAAATTTTGTTGAATAATAATTATCAAAAATATAGGTTCAGTGCATTTAACTAGATCAAATACAAACATATTACAAAGCTGTTACACATCAGAAGTATAGACTTAATGATGTTAGCTAAATTATGAATTTATACATGATAATTCTATTATATTTATCGAAGGATTTCGAAATATTTGATTTTTTTTTCAAATTCTTCAATATACAATCTAATATATTCAATCAATTTTCTGCACGAGTGGAAGTCGTACGAATATTAACTATAGAGTTTTAAACTTATGTATAAATAAAATGGACTTTTATAATCAGATCCTGAATACGATTTTAGTAACTTGGAGTATAATAGTAAATTCCTTGAAATTGCAAACCTTCGCAGTTTCCAAATACCATTTTTGTATTAGGCTTAGAAGTTCTTCGTAATTACAAGGCAGATGTTTGTATTGTAAAAGTTCTAAGTATAGCAGTAAAAGGAAAAATAGAAAAGAAATTTTGTAGGTAAAAAGAAATCATAGTTTCAAGGAAATTACTTACGAACTTTCGTTACAAAGATGCAAAAATAATATGCATTATTTGTTAATAATTTTACTTAAGTTAATAATAAATATTGTCATGGTTACGTATTGAAATAACTGAATGAAATTGTGCTATCAATGTCATGTTTGTACGTATAACTTGTGGTTTGTAACAATAGTTTAATAATTATTAAGTTTGTTGTTAAGAAATTTTTCGTGTACAGTAATTGGATATCAAAGAAAGTTTAGTTTTGTTAAAATAAACAAACGGAAGTTATTATACTAAACAAATGTAATGTATTTGGAAGGAAACTGATACTTATTTAACTACATTATTGGCCGCAAGGGCTTCGAGAAGTATATAAAACGGACCGGAGGCATAGATGACCAGTCCAGCTCTAAGTGCAGGCAAGTGCGGATTTGTGTAAAGTCATCATGAAGCCGACGGTGTTGTTGTTATTGTTTGCTTTAATATACAATGTGGAAAGTTTCATGAACGTATACCGAAGAATCGCAACGGAGGAGAGCGACGGAGATGCTGGTGATCCCCTATTCTTAACACCATTGATTGAACAAGGAAAAGTGAAAGAGGCACAGGACCGTGCCAAAGTCCAATTTCCTGGATTCAAAGGCGTCCAAAGTTACGCCGGTTATTACACCGTCAACAAAGCTAAGGGTTCGAATCAATTCTTATGGTATTTCCCAGCGAAATACGCAGCGAAAACATCACCGGTCGTCCTCTGGCTTCAAGGAGGACCAGGTGCAACATCGCTAATTGGTCTCTTCACGGAAAACGGACCATTCAAAGCGACAAAGAATGGGATCGAACTGCGGAAATTCACCTGGAGCATGAATCACCATTTAATATTTATCGATAACCCAGTCGGTACCGGATACAGCTTCACCAAAAACGGATACGCGAAGAACGAATCCGATGTGGGAAGAGATTTATACTCCACTTTGACGCAATTCTTCACGATGTTCCCATCTCTCCAGAACAACGACTTCTACATAGCTGGTGAATCTTATGCTGGGAAATATGTACCAGCCATTGGATACACTATCTACAAGAACAACCCCAGCGCCAAATTGAAAATCAACTTGAAGGGCTTGAGCATTGGAAATGGTTTATCTGATCCTGAGCACCAACTCAAGTATTCAGACTATCTGTACCAACTGGGATTAATCGATGATAACATGAAGAAAACAGTCAAGAGCTATGAAAAGCAAGGTGTTGAGTATATTCAGAACAAACAATGGGTTGAGGCTTTCCAATTGTTTGATAACCTTCTCAATGGTGATTTGAATAATCACACATCTATATTCAAAAACGCTACAGGCTTTGAAAATTACTTCAACTATCTTGTTGCTGAGGATTTATCAAAGGATATAGAATACATGGGAAAGTTCATTCAAAGCACTGCAGTGAGAAAAGCTTTGCATGTTGGAAACATCCCTTTCAATGGAATTGGTCAAGAAGTTGAAGTTAATCTTATGGAGGATGTGATGCAATCAGTTGCACCTTGGATCAGTGAATTGCTTTCACACTACCCTGTATTAATCTACAATGGGCAATTGGATATAATTGTAGCTTATCCATTAACAATCAATTATCTAAACAACTTGGATTTCAGCGCCGCTGAAGAATACAAAACAGCTAAACGTTACATCTGGAAAGTTAACGGAGACATTGCTGGTTACGTTAAACATGCCGGTAATTTAACGGAAGTCTTGGTTAGAAACGCCGGTCACATGGTGCCTACTGATCAACCGCTCTGGGCGTTCGATTTAATAACCAGATTCACCCACAAAAAGAAGCTTTACTAAAAACATAGTGTAAAGTTTTATTATTTCTATTTTTCTCCACAATAAATCATTTTTTCGATTTCTTTTTCTTATCCTTGCCTTTCTTTTTCTTCCCTTTACCAGTAGCCTCTTTTACTTCAGGTTCCTCAACAACTACAACTTCTTTGGGAAGCTCCCAAATCATTAACGCACAAGAATGATTACCGAACATCACGTTAGGAAATATACAGTTCTCATTGTTATCCAACCAGTCTTTATAGAATATTTCGTGCTTCGTTTTAAATTCCATTCTGGCGGCGATTTTCTGCATCTTAGTATTACTGAAAACGCCGCATATTATTGGAATCTTCAGTAGTTTAGCCAAATCGAAAGCAGCTCTGAAAAGATAATTTCCCATCAACCTTCCTCTGTGTTCGGTCTTAATACAAGTGAGAAATATCCTCAAGAAAGTCTCGCACTGAAATTCATCGTAAATATCGATCTTTTTATTCAAAGCCACATCCAAATCGTTGCATTTCTCATGCGCAGCTCCAGCATTCTTGTTTATTTTACTGAAGACTCGTCCGAAATCAATCTTCTCAATGATCGTTAACAACAGGACTCCTACAACTTCATCACCGTTACTTTCATTCAATAAAACCAACGACGTTTTCTTCTGCAAAATATAATGAACGCTATCCAAGAAAGATTTCACTGAGGCTTCATCCTCAAGCAACTTTGTGCTTTTACATAAGACATCATTAGCGAAGTAATATGTTTTAATTAAATCAAATACAGACTCGTAATGTTGACGTTGACAATACTCGATGCGAAAACCGTTTGTTATTCTCTGAAAGATAATTGGAGCCACTTTTTTCTCAACATTTTTACTCATAATTTAAACAACAAAAAATTTAGAAGAAACTGACAGTGAAAACTGAAAGCTTAAATAACCTGATTTGTTTTTTTTTTATTATTCTTACATCTGTTTATTCTTATTTACATCAACTGACTATAGAATTTCCTATTGCAAACTTTTAGTTTGTGTTGGTAAGGAATTTCGATAGGAAATCTGTGGGTTTGGGTTCCTCTGTGTCTTTGAAGAAGGTCATGATATGTCCCTTCTGCTTCCAAATGTTCACAGTTTCCTTCAATTCCATTTGTCCCTAAAATATAGTAAACAATTGTGATAATGTCTATTTGAATATGTTCATTGAACTCACTTTGATGACCAACATATCAATGACCCTGACATCAGTTAAGTCTTTGTGCTTCAAGAATTCCTCCCTCAGCTTGTTCTTGCAATCACCGATGGACTTCGGGATATCGTATTTGTGAACTGTAATTGTACTATGATTATTTGGGTTGTTATGTAAAAGAGAGGTTAGGTTACCTATGTAAGGGAGCTGCCTGTACCAGGCCTTGTACAGATTCAGAACCCTGCTTCTGGCTTGTCCCTGATCCAACGATAGAAGAGGCTTGACTTGCCTCAAAGTCTTAACAGCTTGCTGGGCCATTTTTAAGAACAAACTATGAAAATCAAGTAGCTGAGGCTACGAACAAATGAAACCTGTCAACTGTTGGCGAAGGAAGATTTCTGCTGTATGCAATATGCACAGAAGTACATTTAGTTGCCTACATAAAAAACCATTAAACGTCATGGAAGGCCGATGGAATGTCGTGTAAAGTCATAACATGTCAAAGTTAATATAACCTGCAATAAAAAGTTGTTATGATGTGAGAATTTAAGCAGTTAATTCAAATATTGCATTTAACATGTTTCCAATAAGCTATATTACAATACCCTGGGAGGAGCTGATAGAGTGTCCTGAGAGCAGTAATTTCCAGGTACCTCAGAATGTAGTCCTAAAACCAATGGGGCATGAATCGATTCAGGTTTGTATCTAACACTAAACCATCTATGCAATCTAAATAATGATACTTTTCAAAACAGATTTTGAACCAGAATGTTGCTACTGAAAACTTAGACGTCCCAATAAATCAGGAGAACAATAATATAACCAGGTGAATACTATATTCAAGTATGTTAGTATGATGATTGATTTAATGATTTGTTTTAGTAATGAAGCAAAGCAGAATAATACCAGTAACAAACATGCAACTGAAGTGAGATATTTGAAGCCCAAGTCACAGCAAATGAAAAAATCTAGTCTTAAGAAGAAGGATCCAATTCAATGTTCTATATGCGAGAAGACCTTCTCCAAAGTCACCCAGTATAGGGTTCACATGCAGGAGCACAGGAACATGAAGAAGTTCAAGTGTGATCAATGCAGTGAAAGCTACAACATTGAAGATAATTACAAGATACACATGGCCTTGCACAACAAAGGTCCACCGAGTTGTCCACTCTGCGATAGGAAATTTCAAAGGCTTGCCAGTTTGAAAGCGCATCTACATACACATCAAATAGAAGAAACTTTTAATTGTAATGAATGTCTATTAGAATTTGATAAAGAGGTGAAGGTGTTTAATAGATTGATTAAGTGTTATTGATTGATTTTATTTCAGGATGATTTAAATAATCATATGATGACGAAAGTCCATAAGGGTGATGTTAAGGAAGTCAAATCTGATGATTTACCCTATGTTTGTTCATTTTGCAGCTACTTGTTTAACAATGCTGATGAGTATAAAGAACATGTTACATTACATATAAAGGTAATTTAATAATTATATTATCTAATTCATTGAATTGGATTAAATTTGTACTAAATTAAAGTAGTAATTTTCAATGTTTTCGTTTCAGGCGCGAAGAATGAATGGGCTAAAGAAAATAAAGAGACGTAATGTGAATACTAATAAAAATCATCCTCATAAATGCGAGCATTGTGAGAAATCCTTTCCAAAGATCTGTTTGTTAGAACGTCATCGAAGAATTCATACTGGAGAGAAACCTTTTAAAGTAATCAGATTGTTTTTTTTTTTTGAGTAATTTTAATGGAATTTGTTTTAGTGTGAAATTTGTAATCGTGGCTTCAATCAAAACGGAACATTGCAAATCCACTTGAATAAACACAAAGGACACAAGCCATTTGAATGTATGTTTTGTTCGGCCAAATTTTCGCAAAGAGGAAATCTTCGCGTGCATTTGGAGAAAACTCATACAGCAGGCGCGCCTGGTGAGAAAGTGTACAAATGCACCCATTGTACGTGCATCTTTAAAAAAGTTTCATCTTTGAACGGGCACGTAACCAAGGTACATTCTGGAGAGAACAACATTTCTGTGATTATAGACCAATTGAAGTTGCTGGATCAGCAAAGTGCTCCTCATAAGATGGCAGAGGAGGTGAAAGAACCGCCGAAGGAAGTTCCTAAGGAAGTACCAAAAGTTGGCGATCCTATTGTAACCGGTGAATCTTACATAAAAATCGCAGACACCAGCATCGATGGGAACGTTCGAAGATACTTGATAAAACATCGAAAGTACGGGGATCACAGATGGTATATTTGTTCGCATTGTAGCAAGGAGTTTAAGAAGCCTTCGGATCTCATTAGGCACATACGAATACACACTCGAGAAAAGCCGTTTAAGGTACTTCAAGTACATAGTTTAGTAGAGATGTTGTTTAAATTCGGATAATATTGCAGTGCACGGAATGCGACCAAACTTTCGCTCAGAAATCCACTCTGAAGAATCACCAGAACACTCACATGCAATTCCAATTGGATTGCGTGATTTGCAACAAGAAGTTCAACTCGATCAGAAATTTGAACGTGCATTTAAAGTATGTGCAATTTTTTCAGATTTCTCGCAATATAACTATTGTTTATCTTTCAGGAAGCACGATAAGAATGCGATTGCTAAAAAAGTTGATTGCTTTAAATGCTCTGTTTGCGATAAAAGCTTTCCGACTATGGACAGTGCAGAGGAGCATATGATCATTCATGAGGTTCCCGACGTGGTGGAAACGGCTAACAAGGAAATACGATTAGAGGATTGTATAGTCATGAAACAGCCTATGGTTGAGACGGAAAATGGAGTCTTCACTGTAGCCGCACCTAGACCGAAGGTGCCTTACGCAACTATGGAACAATATAAAAACAGACCTTACAAATGCCATTTATGTAATGCCGCTTTCCTCAGGTCGGTGCATCTCAAGAGGCACATGATTACACACACTGGCAACAAAGAATTTCAATGTGATATATGCGCCAAGTAAGATTACAGTTTACCATAATTACAACTTAAGATTATTACGTTTCTTTTTATGTATTTCGTCAGAATGTTCAATACTCAATATGCTTTAAAAGAGCACAGAAACTATCATCTCAACATCAAGAATTATGAGTGTAAGCAATGCAAGAAGAAGTTCTACACGAATCCCATTTTGAAGAGACACATGCAGATACACACAACTACTAAACCGTACATCTGCCCATACTGCAAGAAACGGTTCAAGCAAGTGCAGTTTTGCAGGAAACACATCAAACTTATCCATAAAAGAGATGTTAAAGATTCGGTAATAACAATATTTTATCCCCAATTAGTCAATTTGTATACATTTTCTATTATGTTAATCTTAGCTAATGACAGATTCGGATAATATCGGCTTGAATAAAGAGCAGATCATGGATTTGGAAGAAGTCCTTCAAGGAGCACTGGGGGAAACTACTGAAGAGCCGACACCACCAACTCTTACTATTGATCCTTCTTTACCACCAGTTGATGAATTTAGAGATATACAAGATGCCGTTGAAAACTTCAATCCGATGGAAGCACTCATGGAGAACAAGGAAGATCCAGCAACTACAGAAAATTTAGAATTGGCGTTACAGCAGAACTATTCCACCATCAACATTTGTCCTAGAGATTTGCAGCTGTTCAATGATACCAATATGGTAGATGTACGTTGAAATTAATCCAAAAATATTGTTAATATTAATTAATTCAATTTGTATTTAGACGACGGATCCACTCTTACCTATATCGGAATTACCTGAAACAAGTATGCTTTATTCTCTGGATGATAGCTCGAATTTTGGCAACTTGATGTACAATGCTAATGATCTGTTGGATTTGAACGGTAGTAAAGATTTGAACGCGAAGAACAACAACCAGATATTGTACGCAGTGGAGAATTACGAATTTGATATGAATCGGTTGACGCAAAAGGCGACTACATTGGGTGGAGATAGCTTGATAATCTTCAGCAATGAGCAGAAACCAACAGATTTGAATCTATTCAGTTTGAATTTCGCTTCTGGTGACTTGATCAATATTAGTCTAATGGATAATGCAAAGCAGACTTCTGAAGAAGGCACTCAGAACGTGTGCTTGATTTGTAAGGAGACTTTCGAAAGTCTTGAGGATTTGAATAAACACAATTGCACGCAATTCGACACGATCACTGAGACAATTCCGGTGGAAGTATTGAACGAGCAACAAGCGTTTTTTAAGGTAACAAAAATAAAAAAGAATATGAAAAGTAGCAATTTGATTATTTGTAGGAAGAAGTTATGCAGGAACCTCAGGAGATTACCGAAGAAATAATCGAAAATGTTGTTGAGGAAACTGAAGAGAAACCAGCGGAGCAAAGTTTTAAGTGTCAATACTGCGAGAAATCGTTTCAAAGTAAAATATCTCTTGTTCGGCACTCATCTGGTCATCATAAGGTGCAGGTGGATACTACTTGCAATTATTGTTCGAAGAAATTTAAGAAACCTTCGGATTTGGTAAGTGTTACTGCTAATGGGAATGCGAGTGTTTACATAATTTGATTCTTTTTAAGGCAAGGCATATTCGTACACACACTGGAGAGAAACCTTTCAAATGCAACCTGTGTGATAAGAGCTTCACACTTAATTCGACGCTGAATTCTCATTACAGAACGCACAGCTCGATGAACAGCAAAGACTTCAAGTGCCATGTATGCAATACTTATTTCAGTTGCAAATCGAGTTTAAAATCGCATAGCTACATCCATTTAGGTAGGTATATGTTAATATTTCTATGGGTATTTTATGAATTGAAAACATTGTAGATATTAAACCACATAAATGCGACTTATGTCCTGCTATGTTCCGAACGTCGCACCACAAAAAGAACCATATGTTGGCTCACGAGAAGTACGACAAGAAGCCGCCAGGAAAGATGCAACTTTGGAAAACCTTCATGGATGAGCAGATGAGAAGTATTGGTAACACTAACGCTGTTGAAGTTCAATCTACTGATCCTTTAACGCAAGAGGTATACTTCTACTCTCTAATATTACGTTCTTTTTTAATCTAAATTTATTTGTAGTTGCAACAAGCTACCGATCATCTTGTAGCCAACGAATTACCAATCGATAATTTGGAAATAACCGAGGGTTTATCGATAAATCCTATAATGCTGACCAATGGTTATTACACGTTACCCACGGAGCTGGGTATAGGTCAGCTGATCTTAAAACCAATGGTGATGGATCATGCATCTGCAAATATTGAAGCTGACGACGAAGAAATCATGATGCCAGCAAAGCCGTTGGCCAACGACGTTAAATTTCAGTGCAACATTTGCTCGAAGTATTACGTGTCCAAGGCGGGACTTGCCAAGCACAAGAGGCTAGTGCATGGGAATTTCAAGTGCACCAAATGCAGCAAAGCGTTCGTCAGTGATGAACTTTTGCAGAAGCATTTGGTTATGCACGATAGCGCTAGACCCTTAGAGTGTCCGTTATGTAACAACAGTTTCAGCAAAGAAAGCAGCCTTAAAATACATCTTAAAAGGTAAGATTACATTAATATTTTCGAACTGTTTTGTAATAATAATTTATATATTTTTTGTTTGTTTCAGGATCCATAATAAGATAATGTTTTCAGTGACCAGTCTAGGTTAATTAATTAATTAATTATTTTTACATATGTACATTTTAAATATTAAAAATAAATATATTTTATCATAATTCTTCCCGACATTTACCTCTCATCCTTACCCCACTTCCGGTCGGTTCGGGTAAATTTAACTCGTGCAAGCAGAAAAAAAAAGTGAGGGTTGGGGTGGATTTATTTAAAAATGCAAAGGAAAAAGTTCTTCAGAGCGTTAAAAGAAAAGCGGAACGGAATACAGTTGTTTGTGTGTCTCACTGGGGGGTGGTGGAAAAGGTGAGGATAATTTAGGTAAAAATGACGTGAATTGCAGGAGAGTTGTAAGGGGTAGAGAGGAGATCTGGATTCTTCCCGCCAATTAAAGCAGCTTATCTGCATAAAGCGTGGAAGTTGCGCATCGCTCGTGCCCTGGAAGTAACCATAAATATCAGAGCAAAAACCCCCCTCGGTACCGGAGCGGGAAAGAAAACCGCCCTCCTGAATCCCCGGCAACACAAAAGCAAACACACGGAAAAGTAGCCAATTCGTATGCAAGAAGTGGGCTTTCCATCTGCCACGATCCGTCAGTCACGGGTATAGCTTTCCAAGGATTTTCCGTGCCCTCCTTTTCTTCTTCCTCTTCTACTACTTCTTGTTTTTTTTTTTCATCCGTTTTCAACCCCTCCGGCATCCTCGCAACCCCGCCGGTCGCTAGAGAAAGAGTTCGAGAGAAAATTAGACGCGAATCTAAACCCTTTAAAATGTTGCGCTCCGAATGTGGGGGGGTGGAATTTATGACCCCATGAATGTCTAAGATTTAAATCACAGCTTTAGTAGCAAAGTGTGTCGTATAGCTAAATGGGGCCTTCTTCTTATTCTTCCTCCTCATCCTGCTCGTCCTTCTCCTCCTCCTCCTCCCACCTCTTCTCTTCCATTCCTGCAGCTCTTTTCTCTTCTTTATTTTGCAAGGACAAATAACGAGGGCGCGCGCGGATTAAGATTCTTTCTTGCCCCGAATTAATTGCCCGTTTCAGGGATATTAAGAAATGAGCGTTTCTCCCGCCGATATATATATTGCCCAATAATTAACTTCGCAATTGGAAACTTTCCCACCCCCAACCCATCTACAAAGAACCCCGTTTTCTTTTATATACCCGGCGCCTCCTCCTCTTCATCCGTGCATACAATATATATACATACACACACATACAACAGTACATTTCCTGCGGGACCATTTCCCGTCGCTGTTTTTCTAAATATATGCCCTCCTTTTGCACCGTCCTCATCACAATATATCTACTTCCTCCCAGAAATCGGAGCCCTTCCTTAATTCTTGTAAACTTACTTCTATTTATGACTCAAAACCCGGTCTCGCATTTATTACACGTGCAACAATCCCCCCCGCACGCATACACAGGACACATAAACACATCCCTTAGCAGATTTATATTCTATTCCGCCGCCTCGAAGAAACGCTGAGTGGAGTGAGGAGAGCAGAAAAAAAAATAATAATTATGTAACGGCAACGACGAGTTAAGGAAAGGGTTAGAAGAAACGCTCCGCTCTCATTACGCTAATAAAATATTCTAATAATCAGCTTAATTGCTGCTTCTGTTTTTATCCCTCACCAACTAACGAATAAAACATTTAATTGCATTAAAAAGCGCCGAAACGACCAATAAAGTGCGCCGATAATCAACTTAACTATTGTTTTCTGCTGATTCTCCGCAATGCTAGATGCAACTGGGGTTAATTGAAAAGATTTCCTCTTCGTTTTTGGGGCTTTAAAATTATGCATTTACAATGTAACAACATCTATGATGAATTTATGGTTTTATGTGCTCGGCGCTAATTATATTTGTGAGCTCTCTAATACCGACGAGGGCAGTTTAAAGCCGCGAACCATGAAAGCTAAACCCCTGTTGATGTCTCATTTGCATATGAATTTCCACCACTGTTGCTATGTGTCAAACCAGTATACACCTATAATTAATCATAATAAGAAAATTAAAAAAAGCGTTACAACAACAACAATAACAAAAAATTAGGAATTCGGTGGTTTCTGTTAAAGAAACAAAGAAATAAATGAACATTTTAATGATGAAATTAATTGATGTATAAAAGTATTTTAAATTATAATTTAATTCTTTGTTGAAAACAAATATGAACAATTTGAAAGGAAATAATAGGAAAGCTGGTGTTAAAAAAATAAAAGAGTAAACCTGGAGTGTAAATCGGAGGGGAATGCGTTTTTTATACGTAGCAAAAGGTAATGAAGAAGAATCGGGTAAAGTGGTGTGAAGTGAATGAATGCATTATTAAAGTGAATTTGGGGATGTAGTTTGCTCGGTGTGTCTATGCGGGTGTATACGTATGCATGTGTGAGTATGTGCATGTTCATCTATGTATATATATATGTGAATGTGTGTGTGTGTGTGCGATTGTGAGTGGTGTGTAGTCGAGTATATCAATCGCGGTGTCGGCTGTTGATATGCGAATATCTACTTTATGGGCCACCTGTTGAGTTTGCAACCCCCAACCCCTAAGCTAACGGATTTAACCCCACACTTGACGAAAGCCACCGCCGCCGCCGCCACCGCTCGCTAGAGAAAACTGGAGTGGTGAGGAGGGTGCATGCCGCATGCGAAGAAGAAGAGAGAAGAAAAAAAGCACCACGCATACACACACACACAAAGTCAGACACACCGAAAGCAAAGTGTATTAACTTCAAAACCACCCTCTATTTTGCTGCTTTGCCCTTGTTAACACGCTCTTCCATAACAATGAAGAGCTCCGAGAGGCGGGTAAAAGGAAAACCAAACAAACAACAAAAAAAAAAACGCTTTGTATATGAATACACCAATATTCAAATAATCAATTAATATTTTATTATTTTCTATATTATATTTCATAATTGATCATTTCACAATTTTAGCATTTCCTTGACATTTGGAAAATAATATAAAATTTATGGTATTATTATTATGTAATTATGGAAATTTGAAACGATCAAATGGAATAGATTGTGAAAAATGTTGGATGTTAATGATGATGAAAAAAAGAGTCTACAAGGTAGATAAAAAAAATTAGAATCATAATAGTTTGAGAAATGAGAAAAATGCATGTGAACTGAAAACTTTAACGGTCAATTAGCGCCCGGTAATTACGCTATAATAAATAAAATTGCTATGCGGTATGAGGGGGTTGGTTTAGAGAGCGGCAAGGGAGATATGTTATGTGGCGGAGCAAATATAAGAACATTAAAAGTTATTAGGTATTACAAGTTACCTGTCCCCAGATAATAACGCCCCCTTAATTACGCCACCACCCCCTCCCGTATTATTACAATTAGACTGCACAATGAATTACCTTAACGACTTCGGAGAACTCGAATTTTCCGCTGAATAAAAGAAATTGCGAAGTGCAAAAACGAGGGAAGCGAATAATGCAAAAAGGGTGGGTGGTTTTATATGTGTTTCCTGCTTCTTCCGGTAGCCTATTATTATTTTTACTATGTCTTTCTCGCAGTTAAAAGTTGTGTGCATCGGTGTATCAAACATCCCTTGTGGGGAGGGAAAAGGGTAGTTCCGTGTGCGCGTGGAACCATTGATCAAAATCAATTTTCCGTGCGCATTAATTGCTTGCTAATAATCCTAAAGTTGTATCCAGAAATTTGCTTGCCTCGGTGAAGTCACGTATCCTGGTAAGTGCCTCACGCCTCTGCATGCAGCAGCCTCTGATTTTAATCAATTTTCAGAGCTTCAGACTGAAACGACTCGTATCTGGAACCAACGTTAAATATTAATCTTCAAATTATATATATTTTTTAAAATGTCAATCTTTTTTTATCTTAATTAAAAATATTATTAAATTTAAGATTAATATTGCAGTTTTTAAATGTAAGTTTTTTTTTCTGGGTTTTCGTGGTATAATAAGTTAAATCTGCTAGGAAATTGGTACATAGTTTGTATTTGAAAATGTATTGTAAAATATTTTATTGATAAAGTTATTTAGGTATCGAAATTTATTTGTAGGTGGATGTTGTTTGTTCTTATATGTTTGTTTTTTTTTCTGTAGATCTCGGGTTGTATCTGGGTATTGGATGGGTTATCGTGCGTGCGTATATAAGGATAAAGGGTGGATGGGAGTTGAGGAGAAGAGATAGGATGACACCTATCGCACACGTCCAATGCCTATGGACTTTATATCTTGTATTAAATGAAACTTTACTGGACTCGTGGCCGTTATTGTGGGATGCTGCCGGTTCCCTTTATCCCAGGTATCCCATCTTCTGCTGTGCCCAGTTCGGTCCGTTCTCGTGGGTGATGGACAGGCTTTCTACGTGTCAGGAATACGCGCAACCCCAATTATATCACTGGAAAAAAGGGATAAAGAAACACATTCTAATATTATTAGATGGAAAGGAACGAGTGCGTGCGAATTTCACGCTCGTAAAATTTAGGGGTTTAATGTCCGTCTTTGTGCGAATGTGTGCCGTGTGTAATTTTCATACGGCTCAGGTCGGTTCATTCGAGATGGAAACGACCGGAAGGTGTCAAGATAGAGCCAATTTAGGGCCCAATTGGATCGGAGTAATGTGACTTCTAAAGGATCGCCCAAGTTAACGGGGTGGCCGTTCCCAAACGCCACCAACACCACCACCACCCCTCTCTCTCACCACCCGACATTAGCTACGGCGAAACGACCGGACATCAGACCGCCACCCCCCGACGCCTCCACAACCACCACCACCAACACCACCGCTTCAAGCGTCGCGACGCTGGTCATCTAAGCAGGAAACGACCGCCGCCGACAACACTGGAACGTGCCGATTAGCCACTTTAATATCTCTCTACCCATCCTCCATCCTCCATCCCCCTCATCCTCAGCCACAGTCCTAATTAAAACGTAAACTACTTTAGATTAGACACACGAGCCAACCGAATTCTTCTTTCCTCCTAATTTTTGCATTCAAATTGCTCACTGTTAAAGCTAACAAGAATGCACGGACGTTGTTATTTTTAATTCCATTTTCCACCTCGCTTTTGTTATTTTAAAT